CCTCAGCCATGGATGAGAAAGTCACAAAACCAAATCCTCTTGATCTTTTGCTTGCAGGATCCCTCATTACCTTAAAAATCAAAGGAGGAAATTTTAGCATCTGATCTCAGTATCTGTGTTACACACTAGTGACACAGATTATAAGTTTTTTCTTTGCTAGGAATACTGATTTACTCTAAATGTTTAAGTCACTTCCTGAACAGAAGTCAAACAGGTAAGAGGGCTACTATCTGTCAGACTTCTATAGTTAACATACCACGCAGTCTGTAAGCTTTCCCCATTGCTCATAATAGTTCCTCAAACTTTCTTCTGTGGTTTCAAAGCTTAGGCCACCAATAAAGAGTTTACGGAACTGTTCCTTTTCTCTCTGCAAAGGAAAACAGCATTTCAATTTTTATTTACATTTTCTCTTTGTATGCAGGAAATTAAATTCTTAAATATGAGGTGACCTGCTGGCAGAGTACCTTTTTCCTCTCCAAAGGAACAGTTTCTAAAGTTTTCTGGGGGGGAAAAAAAAAACTTACATCAAATTTAAACCATATGTTAAACTGCATTATTAGTTGTGTTACACCAAAAAAAAAAAAATCTTCCTCAGTTGAATTATACAAGTTTCAAAGTCATTAATGCTCAACCTAAATTTACTCAACATAAAACCTTAAATTCTGTGGTCATTGAAGGGTTTTAGAATTAACAAAATGTGCATTCAATTCTATATTCTAAAAACACAGAATTAACTTCACTCTAATTTAGATCTTAATGTAAAAAATAACTCGATTATAAATAAAACTTTACCACTCATTTCAATATTGAGTTATCTGAAAAGTGACAGACTGAATTTCCCTTAATTGCCCCCACGGTTAATCTACATATTGTCCATCAAAAAACTATTATGACCAAAAAACTATTATGACAAGTATGATTTTCTCCATACAAAAACATTCAAGAAATGTAAAAATAGCCTTAAAATTAACTTCTCACAACAAAGGCTAATTAATTTATGACCAGCAGCACCTGAAGCTTAAAAAAAAATCTCAACTTACTGGTTTTGATGGGCACTCCTAAGTTACAGTACTGAACAATCTTGAATGATGAATCAGCTAACAATTATATTTTTGCCCACAGCTATCTCAAATTTTAAAAACCACTAGAAATATTAGTCATCGCAACCCCATTTATTTCCCAGATTCATGATCAAAAACTCAGGCTTTCTGAACTTACTGGTCAGCGGAAAATCCACACAGCACAATTAAGTGTGTCAAATTTTAATATCAAAAACTTAAAAATATGGCCTGGAATATTTTAAAATCTACAAACCAACAATCAAATTGCTGCATTAATGTATCCTGTATGCCAGCTAAACAGATTAAAATTGACTTGCAGGCACTACCTTAACAAAACTAAAACTATTCATAATCTAGAACAGGTCATTTTCCAAGACCCACTGCTATGAAAGCGTAATAAAATCTACAAGATTGAACATTTTGAACGCAAAAACATTGTGTCCTATCAAGCAGCAGTACCGTTTTCAACCCAGAGGTCTATGGGTCTCCCCCCACATGCACATTTTCTAGAATGTCTTTAAAAAAAAAAAAAAAAAAAAAAAGGCTGCTTTCTCCAGCATGTTTTTAAAACTCTGAAAAATCAAGAAATATAAACAGAAATCACCTAACTAGCTCTTATTGACATTGGAGAGGGTGTTCTAAAATTGTTTCCCGACCAGACAAACCTTCGAATTTTCAAACTTATTCTTAATGTCAATAAATCTCCTTATATTCTAATTAGAAATGAAAGTATATCTACAATTCTTACAAATCACTAACAAAAAGCAAAAACTCATTACTTACCTCGCCGTTTTTTCCAAACTTACCCGATGTCCACTATCGATTATAAACAAAGTTATTTTATAAACGTGCTTAGGGTCAAAGAAATAGACCCCCCTTCGCTTGAGACCTTATGCTTATCAATGTAATCAACCATGATTGCAAACATAAATGAGAAAAGTGACAAAGTTCAAAAACATAGCAGCCCAGGTCTAATACAGCTCTGTAAACAGCATTAGGGGGCATTGAAGGACTGAGCCACATTTTAGCCAACGTATAACTAAAAAAAAAAAAAAAAAAATCACTTTCTTTTTCATCATTTACAATGGTCCAGGCTTTCTCCCAATATCGATTAAACCTCTCCGTAAAAACACGTAAAATGTTTTATAATTCAAAACCCATCAGTACAGTTTAGGATCTGGAAAAGATTATCCGCCCGCATCCCCGAAAACCTCCCTCTTTTCCTCTACGCCATACTTGCAGCCTGTACTAATCTGAGGACCCTAATTTTTTTGCTTCTCTGTTACCCGAGACTGCCTTTTTAATCACTGCAGACTCGTATGAAACCGTTACTGAAGAGGAGGAAAAAAAAAAAAACAGGATCTGGAAAACGGCTTCTCTCTAATGTGGCTCGTGTTAAAATCGGCCCAACGCCCCAGGTGGTTAAACCTAGTCGCCAACCGCGCCGGCCATCCGGGCACCCCCTCCCCCGCCCCGCGCGCGCTCCCCGGTGAGGCTTCTGAACGCAATGGCGCCATTTCATCGAGGGGAAGGCAGAGCGCCTTTAACGAGGTGCGCAGGACTCTAAAAGATCCAACCCCACAACACTCGAAATCCACCTCGAATCGATATGAAAACAGCCCGAGAAGAGAAAAAAAGTTACCCACGTCTAGGCTTTTACAAAGGAATTAAACTAGTAGTACTGAGAGAAATAAGAGAAAAACGCTGCGAGGAAGGAGACACATGAAAATGGCGGCCGCCAAATCCGGTTCCCGGGAGAGGGGGAGGGGAAGCTCCGCAGACTCGCTCACGAGGACCCTACGCCCGCAGAAACACTCCAACGTGGGGACGCCGGGGCCCCCAAATCGGCGAGTTTTTAAATACCTAGTAAGAAAATTCCCGCCTCCGCGCCCCATTTTCACGAACGCGGGGCTGCGGGCGCCCGGCGAGACGCCCCATCCCCCACGGTCGGTAAAGGGAAATGGCGCCGGGAGGCTGAGGGTGGAGAAGGTGTTTGTACAATTAGGCCTCCGCCAACGACCCCCGCCCCGAAATAGCTCCAGGCGGGCGCTCCCGAAGCGGCCAGATTTCCTGCGGGTCTCCCACGGAGGCGGCAGGCCGATTTCCACTAAGGCGCCAACGGCCTCGCCATGCCCTTTCCAATAACTCATTGATTTCAAACCCGTTACCTCCATCGCGGACTCAGTCGCTTCAGCCCGATTTCCCGCAGCCGAGCGAGATGAGAGAGATCTCCGCGGACGAACGCGAGCCTGACTCGTCCTGGGGCTGTCGTGAGAAGGCAC